ATTTGGAGCAGTGAGTATATGAAAGTATCCGTTGCCCCACTTTTCTTAAAATATTTGGTGAATATAGGCAAAACTGCCTAAATTTGTTCATTTTTGGGTGTGCTCACTACATTGCCTGTGTAACCACACACCAGTTACCCTTTGAATTTGTCCACATTATAGGCAAAAAAGGAAACAATTTTTGTGACAAAATGCCTGATCTATCAGGAGTCGCTATCATATTTTTGTCTACTTCTAAATATAAGTTGTTTTGCTTCATGCAAAGCAATCAGATGTAACTAACCAGTCAAATTAACTGGTACTTAATTTGCGTTCTACGGTCAAGTTGCACTTTAGTTTGTATGCACTTGACAGGTCGTTGTTTTGCATGCGTGGCTATTAATAACGTGGTTATGTTTCACATGCCAGACAGGGTTGTTATTCTCTCCATTCACGAAGAAACACTTAATTTATCACCAATTGGGCACTAGCCTTGGTAGAATGAGATTCCACTGGGATTCCATGTAGTGTGGGTTGAATAGTCGTTTCTTTTTGGGCCACTTATGCACCATCTTTGAGAGAGGTTGACTACGTGGCCTGTGATCTCCCCAGGATTCCATCACAATCTAGGTGCTATGTGATTACAGCCGTGTCTTGTCTGTCACGTGACGTCTTCATTTGGAACACGTATGACAGCATGATAATGGACTTGGAACGTCAGTTTCTTAGACTATTTCACTAAACAGCAATTTGCAATGCGAAAAAGGCACTTATTAGCCATTTTTCTCCATTTTGCCTGCGAATCTGTCTAAAAACACTAAAATCCACAAACTGTTTGATGATGTCGAAGTTTATCTCTTAGGAAAATTGGGCACTACTGAAAACTGTCGTAAATGACAGGAATTAATTGCATTTCAGCTTAATGGAATTTCTCGATTCATACAAAAAGCTAAATCCAAAATTCCACCACTTCTGATAATTCCAACGATGGACGTGAGACGTAGCGTAATTAGGTAAAGGGTAGAGGTTTTTGCTGTGAATCTCCTCTTGGCCATTTTTAACGTTTTTCAATGCTACATTCTTCTTTACCGTAAGTTATTTCTTCGCAATCTTGTTTTTAAAAAGGGAAAAATTTATCCACCTAGGAGTGGCAAAATCAAAATGTTGACAGAAATCACGAATCTATTTATGGCATG